GGTATAGTTTGAAGTCAGGGAGCCTGATTCCTCCAACTCCATTTTTCTTTCTTAAGATTGCTTTGGCTATTCGGGTCTTTTGTGTTTCCATATGAATTGTAAGATTTTTTTCTTCTAATTCTGTGAAGAATGCCATTGGTACTTTGATAGGAATTGCACTGAATCTGTAGATTGCTTTGGGTAGTATAGTCATTTTCACAATATTGATTCTTCCAATCCAAGAACATGGTGTATATCTCCAACTGTTTATGTCATCTTTGATTTCTTTCATCAGCATTTTATAGTTTTCTGAGTACAAGTCTTTCACCTCCTTAGGCAGGTTTATTCCTAGGTATTTTATTCTTTTTATTGCAATAGTAAATGGGGGCTTCCCTGGTGGTGCAGTGGTTGAGAGTCCACCTGCCGATGCAGGGGACACGGGTTCCTGCCCCGGTTTGGGAAGATCCCACATGCCGCGGAGTGGCTGGGCCCGTGCACCATGGCCGCTGAGCCTACGTGTCCAGAGCCTGTGCTCCACAGCAGGAGAGGCCACAACAGTGAGAGGCCCGCGTACCACAAAAAAAAAAAAAAAAGTAAATGGAATTGTTTCCATAATTTCTCTGTTTTTTCGTTGTTGGTGTATAGGAATGCCAGAGATTTCTGTGCATTAATTTTGTATCCTGCAATCTTACCAAATTCATTGATTAGTTCTAGTAATTTTCTGGTGGCATCTTTAGGATTTTCTATGTATGGTAACATGTCATCGGCAAACAGTGACAGTTTTACTTCTTCTTTTCAATTTGTATTCCTTTTATTTCTTTTTCTTCTCTGATTGCTGTGGCTAGGACTTCCAAAACTATGTTGAATAAGAGTGGTGAGAGTGGACATCCTTTTCTTTTTCCTGATCCTAGTGGAAATGCTTTCAGTTTTTCACCATTGAGTATGATGCTTGCTGTGGGTTTGTCGTATATGGCCTTTATTATGTTCAGGTAGGTTCCCTCTATGCCCATTTTCTGGAGAGTTTTTATCATAAATTAGTGTTCAATTTTGTCAAAAGCTTTTTCTGCATCTATTGAGATGATCATATGGTTTTTATTCCTTAATTTGTTAATGTGGTGTATCACATTGATTGATTTGCGTATATTGCAGAATCCTTGCATCCCTGGGATAAATCCCACTTGATCATCTTGTATGATCCTTTTAATGTGCTGTTGGATTCTGTTTGCTAGTATTTTGTTCAGCATTTTTGCATCTATGTTCATCAGTGATACTGATCTATAATTTTCTTTTTTTGTGGTATCTTTTTCTGGTTTTGGTATCAGGGTGATGGTGGCTTCACAGAACGAATTTGGGAGTGTTTCGCCCTCTGCAATTTTTTGGAAGAGTTTGAGAAGGATTGGTGTTAGCTCTTCTCTAAATGTTTGATAGAATTCGCCTGTGAAGTCATCTGGTCCTGGACTTTTGTTTGTTGGAAGATTTTAAGTTTTGGTTTCAATTTCATTACTTGTGATAGGTCTGTTTATATTTTCTAATTCTTCCTGGTTCGGTCTTGGAAAATTGTGCCTTTCCAAGAATTTGTCAATTTCTTTGTGGTTGTCCATTTTATTGGCGTATAGTTGTTTGTAGTAGTCTTTTCTAATCCTTTGGATTTCTGCAGTGTCAGCTGTGATTTCTCCTTCTTCATTTCTAATTTTATTGATTTCAATCCTCTCCCTTTTTTTCCTTGAGGAGTCTGGCTAAAGGTTTATCAATTTTGTTTATCTTCTCAAAGAACCAGCTTTTAGTTTTATTGATCTTTGCTCTTGTTTTCTTCATTTCTATTTCATTTATTTGTGCTCTGATCTTTGATTTATTTCCTTCTACTGACTTTGGGTTTTCTTTGCTCTTCTTTCTCCACCTGTTTTAAGTGTAGGGTTAGATTGAGATTTTTCTTGTTTCTTGAGGTGAGACTGATTGCTATAAACTTCCCTCTTAGAACTGCTTTTGCTGCATCCCATAGGTTTTGGGTCTTCGTGTTTTCATTGTCATTTGTTTCTATGTATTTTTAAATTTCCTCTTCGGTTTCTTCAGTGATCTCTTGGTTATTTAGTAGCGCACTGTTTAGCCTCCAGGTATTTGTGTTTTTTACAGTTGTTTCCTGTAATTGATTTCCAATCTCATAGCATTGCGGTCAGAAAAGATGCTTGATATGATTTCAATTTTCTTAAATTTTCTGAGGCTTGATTGTGACCCAAGATGTGATCTATCCTGGAGAATGTTCCATGTGCACTTGAGAAGAAAGTGTATTCTGCCACTTTGGGGTGGAATGTTCTATAAATACTAATTAGATGTATCTGGTCTCCTGTGTCATGTAAAGCTTGTGTTTCCTTACTTACTTTCTGTTTGGATGATCTGTCCATTGGTGTAAGTGGGATGTTAAAGTCCCCCACTATTATTGTGTTACTGTCGATTTCTCCTTTCATGGCTGTTAGCATTTGCCTTACGTATTGAGGTGCTCCTATGTTGGGTGCTTATTTATAATTGTTATATCTTCTTCTTGGATTGATCCTTTGATCATTATGTAGTGTCCTTCCTTATCTCTTGTAACAGTCTTTATTTTAAAGTCTATTTTATCTGGTATGAGTATTGCTACTCCAGCTTTCTTTTGATTTCCATTTGCATGGAATATCTTTTTCCATCCCTTTACTTTCAGTCTGTATTGTCCCTAGGTCTGAAGTGGGTCTCTTGTAGACAGCATCTATATGGGTTTTGTTTTTGTATCCATTCAGCTAGTCTGTGTCTTCTGGTTTGGGCATTTAATCCATTTCCATTAAAGGTTATTATCAATATGTATGTTCCTATTACCATTTTCTTAATAGTTTCGGGTTTGTTTTTGTGGGTCTTTTTCTTCTCTTGTGTTTCCCACTGGTTTGGTGGTGCTAAATTCTCTCAGCTTTTGTTTGTCTGAAAAGCTTTTGACTTCTCCATCGAATCTGAATGAGATCGTTGCTGGGTAGAGTAATCTTGGTTGTAGGTTTTTCTCTTTCATCACTTTAAGTGTATCCTGCCACTCCCTTCTGGCCTGCAGAGCTTCCACTGAAAAATCAGCTGATAACGTTATGGGGATTCCTCTGCATGTTATTTTTTGGTTTTCCACAAGGGAAGTTTTAGTTGAGGCAGATGCTACCTTCAGAGTGCCAGAAGAGTCATGTCCTCAACATGGGCTGGGCTGGAGAGTGGAACTCTGCTTCCCAGCCCCATCCAACCCTCAGCCAGCATTTGATACGAGGCAAGGCAGAACTCTGAGGCTCTGCCAAAGCACACCATTCCTTCAGGCCACTGGAGTTCTCTGCCAGCCCCTGTGTTAGCCACATGGGAGATATGGAGCCTAAATCAGGGACCATCCTGCCAAGGAACCACAGTCCGGGAAGAAGGAGCCTGGATAAAAAGGTAGAAAGTCCTGGCAAAGCATAACTTGGTCTGGGACAGGAAGGCTTGATTCAAGGTAATTTAAAGAATTTGTTCAGGGCACCCCCTGGAACCCAGAGGTGGGATGCACAGGTGGTCCTGGACCAGAGCCGGGAGCTGCACAGTTGGAAGCAGGTGCCTGTTTATTTCAGTGTCTGCCGCAGGCTTTGCAAGCCGGCTTTCTACCTTGATGTGTGGAGGGCTCATCCATAAGCCTAGGGTGGAGACACAGAGAAAGTTTGTAAGTGGCCCTAAAAAAATACGCAGGCTTTTCAAAAGTCCGTTTAAAAGGCTCGGCCTGCTGATGAAAACTGTCAAGCTTCTTTGCTCTTGGCCGGGATTAAGTCAACCTAGGCAGTAACACTGGAATCGCACACTCACCAGCTTCTCTGATTGGCTGCTGGTGACATAACAGAAGTTCAGGAAGGTGATTGGTGGGCCAGGTGCGGCTGCTGAGCCGTGAACCTAAAAAAGGAACAGAATGGGGGGGGGGGGAGCCACCAACCAACACATTTTAAAGCATCGGGTTCCTGTTTTAAATAATAAAGATGGTGTTCAAGATAGTGATATCTCTGCATGGTCCCTAAGGTGTACCTGGGTTCCTTTGTGTTGCTTCTGCCTCCCCCGTCCCAGGTGTCTCACTCTCTCTCTCCCTGGAGACTTGCAGGCAAGTGCCGACAGGTCCCCCTCCACTGCCAGTCCCCCTCTCTCTGCCCAAACCTGCTCTCTGCAGCCCGGAGGCGGGCAGCCCAGGCCGGCTGAGCCCCCGGGGCTTTCCCTGCTCCAGCAGCCATGCTGGCAGCATCTCGAGCTGTGCCCTGGTGCTGGGGCAGGCAGCCTCCTTGACAAATTCTCCAACAGAGCAAAGCCACAGCGGGACCAATGAACATGACGAGAAGCACGAACGTGTCGGCCTAGCCGGGAGAGGACTGTTTTCTTTAACACAACAGGGACTGGGGCCGGGCTCACCTGGGGAGTCACTGCACATCCTCTGGCCTTAGCAGGCGACCAGAGAAGAGAACGCAGGCAAAACAGCCGGTGGCCTCAAGGGACAGTATGTGGGGAATTTTAGAAAGGCTCTGGGTTTGCAGAAGGGAACAGCACAATGTGGCAGGGAAGCCATTGAGGTTGCGATTCTACCCCTGATGTGCTGCAAACTTGCTGTGTGATTTTTGGGCTCTTCTCTGAGTCTCTGTTACCTCCCCTGTGGGATGCAGGATACAATCCAATCATCTCCAGGCCTTTTCCATCTCAGGCTTATGGAACACTGGTGTTCCAGGGGCAAAACGAGGTGTTCCCACACCAATAGTATTAATAATGCCTGGTGTTTATTAACCTTCCTACCATGGGGCAGGTGCTGTGCTGGGGGCTTTACAGACACTAGTGCTAATCTGCAGAATAATCCTGCCAAGTAAGTATCGTCTCCATTTTAGAAGAGGAAGCAGGTTCCAAGAGATTGATTAACCTGTCCACCGTCCCACAGCTAATACTCTTAATTTGAACCCAGGTCTTTCTGACTGCAAAGTCTCCCAAATATAATTATTTTTTTCCTTTTTGATTTGCCAAAAAAAAAAAAAAGCTAATGACTAGTACTTGGTCAATTTTAAGTTTTTCTCCCAATATTTTTCTTTGATGACTACTATCAAATAGTAGCAGAACACCCAAACCTCTTGGAAAATGAATACTGGAAATGAAATGAATGTACTGGAGACTCTTGGAAACTGGATCCTGAGGAAACCTGTCTGGAGCCTCAGCAGCTCGCCTCCTTCATGAACCAGTCTGCTTGAGGCACGTCAGTGTGCAAGTTTAATCAAGCAGAACATTTCTGACCCAACTAGATGCTAAGTACATCAACATATTCTCAGCTAAATCATGGTTCGTATGAGACATAGAAATACAGGTGTTTCATCATCTTCTGCAAAGGAAGCTGACTTCCAGGTGCTCTGCGACCGAAAACAGGTTTGCGCACCCTGGTTCTGACTCCAAGAAGATGCAATTTACGGGCAGGAAAACTTCCTGGACGAACAGAGTGAGGGAGAGCTCTCTCAGCACCTTAGAAAACCCAGCCCTGCGAGGTGTCTGCTTCTCTTCCCTGGGAGTCAGAAGATGTCCTTTCCCTTTAAATGTGCACCTGGAAAGTTCTCTATCAAACCAGACTGACACAGGCAGGCCCTCCACCCTGCCAACAAGAGCAGTCACTGAGATCCAGGATGGCTGTTGACTAGCTGGCGGGGTTAGCACAGATGGACTAGCTGGACCACGGACAGAAGGGGGGCACTTGCCATGAAGGGACCACACTCCACAGGCCCAGGGGGTGGAGCCCGCGATCTCCTGACTCCCACAGCTGCCCTCGGACCTCACCTCTCTCCCTCTGAGGCTCAGGCCACGAGCCAGAACACTGTTCCTCTTGCTGACCTCCAACATTCGTTGCAGGCCTTGGAGCCCTGCTCACCAGCCCCCCCAGGGTCACATTCCCTGCTGCTGTCCTGGCGATTTCTGACATCTACGTGCACAACTCACCCTTCAACTATGTTTCTCAGGACAGCATTGCTATTTCAGGAAGGTGGGCAGGGTCTAACCGTTCTGCAGTCCCATTTCCACTATGTAAACTGTTACAAATTTTAGGAGACGTGTGTGCTGAGAAGTCTTAAAATAAAGTCAAACCACTGTGCTGGTGCAGGAATCTTAGTACAGATCCAGACTTTTTACTGCACTCCTACTGAAAGCGAGGTGTTACGAAGCACATTCTCCCACTGGATCCTAAAGGTAAGCATTTGAACTTTTACTTTTGTATTTATAGTTAATCTAGCTCTAAAAAGGGTTTGGGCATCTCTAAAAAAGCAGTTGTGGTGCTACTATGTGATGTCAGGATTAATATCACTACAGTTTTACAGATTTAAAAAAAAAAACCCTGACGGGACTTCCCTGGTGGTCCAGTGGGTAGGATTCCACACTCCCAAGGCAGGGGGCCTGGGTTCGATCCTTGGTAGGGGAACTAGATCCCGCATGCCACAACTAAGAGTCCGCATGCCGCAACTAAGAATCCAAATGCCACAACTAAATATCCCACATGCAGCAATTAAGTCCCGACACAGCCAAATTAATTAATTAATCAATCAATTAATGAAAAAAAAACAAACCCTGAGACTTAGAATAAATGTGGTCCCCAAGGCTACATAGTAATTGGTATAATGGAAGCTTGAACTCAAATCGAAGAGGTATAGTGAGAAGAACAGAGTGCAAAATGGGAATATTAAAATCCACCTGGCAGGGTTATTGTAGGAAAATGATACAGTTTACGTGAAGGGGAGGCGAGCACAGCAATGTTGCCTTCCTTCCCCTCCATCTTCAGATTCTCAGCTCTTTCCATTATACCACTCTGCCTCCTCTTCACCGCAGCTCATCAGAGAGGATATTATACATCAGCTTTACAATGGATAAAATACTACCACAGTCATTTACTTTGAGCTTCATGCCAACCCTTGCAAAGTAGGCATTATCCCCATTTTCCAGATGAGGAAACCCAACTTCTTAGAGGATGAATGACCTCCTGGGGCTTCTCAGGTGACAAGCAGCAGGGTTGGGATTGGAACCCCAGTCTAACGACCCCCAGAGGTCACACCTTTCCCGTTAAACCACGCACTTTCTGAGTCAATAATTAAGCTTCTAACAGCCATAAGCATAGAAGGAATATGTATTTCCTTTAGATAAGTTAATACTATGTGGAAATATCATTTGGGAATTGGAAAGTAGAAACGCTTTCTCTTCTGTGAGTAAAAAGGAAAGAGAAACTGAGAAGAGTGTTCACTACAAAATTGTACGTACGTACGTAATCGTGTAAAATAATCATGTAGTTTAAGGTTCACACGCAAACCTGATGGAAACATAAAAATATATATAGGGCTTCCCTGGTGGCGCAGTGGTTGAGAGTCCGCCTGCCGATGCGGGGGACGCGGGTTCGTGCCCCGGTCCGAGAGGATCCCACGTTCCGCGGAGCGGCTGGGCCCGTGAGCCATGGCCGCTGAGCCTGTGCGTCCGGAGCCTGTGCTCTGCAACGGGAGAGGCAACAGCGGTAAGGGGCCCGCGTACCGCAAAACAAAAAAAAAAAAAAAAATATATATATATATATATATAAAAATAAAGCATAAAAATATTCTGATAGAAACATCATAAAATATGCTTACTGCATATTTTAAAAATAAATGTATTTTACATTTATAAATGAGTTAAACATTTGTAAAACGTTCATTCTTTTGTTGGAAGAAAATCTGTTTCTTTTGTCTTGAATAAAGATATCTGGGAAACATATGTTTGTTGTTCTAGTTAAATAAAACCGCTGAGAGCTCTACATTTGTGGTGGCTGTGGCTGTGCTCTTAATAAAAATAATGAAAATATTACCCAAGCCCCTCCCTGACCTGCTGACTTGGAAATAGGTCACCTCCCAGTGAATTCACAGTTATGTGCTTCGATTAGCATCGGATTCTGGAAGAGCTCCAAAATTTGAAAACCAAACTGCTTTCAGCATCTGGTCCTTCCAAAAAGGAAACCTTAAAATTATCTTTGAGTTATGAAGGATGCATAATAAGGTTATGTTAAACAACTAGAGTATAGTTACAAAAGAAAAACGGAAATGGAATCTCCTGTACCAGGGATGGAATCAAGTCTAAATAAATATTTAAATCACAATGTAAATGCATTTGATGAAAATTTTCAATCAAGGTTTTTGGACTAAAGCATATATTGGAACCTTACTCATTTGGTTTCAATTAAGTTTTCAATATAAAAATATGTAATTGGCCAAGGAACAGGGTGTCAAAACCTCAGATCTCACAGGGCCAGGCAGGTAATAGAAACCAGAGTTTGGAGAGATGAGTTCCCTCACCTGCAAAATGAGAATAATAAAAATATATGTCTCACAGCACTGTTATGAGGCTTAAGTTAGATAATGCCCGTGAAAAAGGATTCAGAGACATATATATAGCTGTTAAGACTCTGCACAAATAGTGGCCATTGTGTTTGTATAATCTTTCCCCAACTGCTTTCTTTGAATGACATCACGAAGTCCTAAGAAGCTACTCTTTCTTTTACACACCTTCGACACACCCACAATCTTTCTTCTTTCCCATCCGTGATGAAGCTGATACAATGGCACAGGAACATCTAAAAGAGGGAAGTCAAACAAAGTGGGATGTTCCTGCTTCATCATTTTCCTCAACAAACTTTTGTGAGAGCTTCCATGGGCAAGGCATGGGTGACTAGAAGAAATGAAGAGAGTTCTTACCGGTCATCCCATGAAGAGAGAACAGTTTTCATCGCACTTCAGAAAGAAACCAGGGTACAGACTGTCTGAGAAGGTCCAGGGGAGCACTGCCCAGGGGAGACATCGTGGGAGCCACAATTTTAAACTGTACAGTGGCACATTAAAACAAAAAAAGTAGGGACTTCCCTGGCGGTCCAGTGGTTAAGACTTCACCTTCCAATGTAGGGGGTGTGGGTTCAATCCCTGGTCGGGGAGCTAAGATCCCACGTGCCTCAGGGCCAAAAAACCAAAACAGAAAACAGAAGCAATATTGTAACAAATTCAATAAAGACTTTTAAAATGGTCCATATCAAGAAAAAAAAAATCTTAAAAAGTAAAAAGAAACAGGTGAAATTAGTATTAACACTAACACTAATGATATATTTAGCCAAGGTATCCAAAATATTATCATCTCAATATACAATCAATACTAAAAATTATTCATGAGCCATCCTACATTCTTTTTTTCATGCTAAGTCTTCGAAATCTGGCATAAATTCTACACTCACATCACATCTCACTTTGCAGCGGTCATATGTCAAGGGCTCTATGGCCACATGTCTAGTGGCCACCATGCTGGGCTGCACAGGTCTGTGAGATCTTTAGAGAAAAGGGCTAAAAAAAAGTGTTAACATACAAACAGCCAATATTTGAATGTTTGTTCTATATTACAGGGGCTCTGAGGTGCTATAGCTGAAAAGATCTGGAAGAGAGTTGTTCCAGACAACTGAAAAGGAAAGAAACTGTTCTGAAAAGAGTTGTTGCCTTGGAACACAGACCTGGGTGCCGTGCTCCAATCTGGAGTACTCCGCAAGGCCACCCGGCCCCGGAGCTTCCCTGGAGGACCAGCGGAGGCCGCTATTGAAGCTGCATCCCAGCCCAGCTTCTCCCTCAGCCTGCCCTCACTGCCCTTGCTTTCTTCCAGGGGCTGTTCCTCTACCACTCCCTGATAAACCTCCTGCAGGCCGATCCCCTTCTCAGAGTCTGTTTCCCAGGGAACCCCCCTAGGACTTACACCATCCTTCTCGAGGGAAGTGACTCTATCAACAGACTGAGACTTTCGTCTGCCATAGTTGCCCAAGGACATGGAGGTCTGTGGGCCTTTTGCAGGATGATCAGCTACATCTCTGCAGCAAACGAGGAAAATACGTCATCACTGCAAATTCCCTCTTAGAAGTCCCTCCAGTCTCAGGAATCGTACTTGCTTCTCCAATTTCTATAAGACATTGAGAAACTTGCACTCAGTATGCGACTGTGGTAAGACTGGATGTCATCGGACGTCACAATGGGCCCCCCGTTTTGCCACTGCTGCCTCACATGTGAGGTGTGTAGATACTCAAGTCGAAAGCACCACTGGCTCTGGGGCAGGCTGAGGAGTCCTACTCTCCAGCAGAGGGCTGGAAGCAATGTACCCAGGCATTTCTTGGCATTGCACTGGAGGGCAACCAAACAGAGTAGGACCTCCTCTGAGTTGCCCCTGTGTCCTAAAGTCTAGCTTGGCTTAGAGATGAGAGGCAGCCCTGGTTTGAGACCCTAAAACTAAACTCTAAATTCTCAGGCCAAAAAATTAAAGCCCTACTTGCTGTTTCCTGTCAACTCCTTAACTCCTACCATTCCTATAAGGCCATCTCAAGGGACTTCTCCATAAGACCTTTCTTCTGTTTATTTTTAAAAGCTTTATTGAGATATAATTCACATACCATACAATTCACTGTTTAATATACTTAAACCACCGAATTTAAGTGCAATTCAATGGTTTTTAGTGTATTCCCAGAGTTGTGCAACCATAACCACGATCAGTTTTAGAACATTTTCAATAACCCAAAAAGAAACCCCTCATCTCTTAGCTGTCATTCCCAAGCCCCCTCCGTTACCCACCTCCGGCCTCAGGTAACCACTCACCTACCTTCTCTATACATTTGTCTATTCTGGGTATTCAACAGACACTGAGTCATACAATATGGGGTCTTTTGCGTGTGGCTTCTTTCGCTGAGTATAACGTGCTCAAGGTGCATCCCACGCTGCAGCATGTGTCAGCACTCGTTCTTTCCTATTGCTGCATACTATTCCGTTGTAAGGGGTATACCACATTTTCTTTATCCATCATCGTGATGGACACTGGGATGTTTCCACTTCTCGGCTATCGTGGATCACCGTGCTGTGAGTATTTGCATACACGTTTTTGTTTGGGCATCTGTGATCATTTCTCTTGGGTGCGTAGCTTAAAGTGGGGTTGTTGGATGATGTGGTAACTGTTTAACCACTTGAGGAAGTGCCTGATGGTTTTCCACAACAGCTGCACTCTCAATTCCCACAAGCAGTGGCTGAGGGCTCTGATTCTCCACATCTTCACCAATGCTTGCCATTTTCTGTTTTTTTTGATTAGGGCCACCCTAGTGGGTGTAAACTGGTAGCTCATTGTGGTTTGATTTGCATTTTCCTGATGACTAATGATGTCGAGCATCTTTCCATGTGCTTATTGGCTGTTTATCTTCTTTGGAAAAATGTCTATTCAGATTCTTTGCCCATTTTAAAATATGGTTGTCTTCTTATTATTGAATTAAATAGTCCTTTATATATCCTAGGTACAAGGACCTTCTCCAATATATAATTTGCAGATATTTTCTCCCATTCTGTGGGTTGTCTTTTCACTTTCTTGATGGTGTCCATTGAAGCACAAAAGTTTAAAATTTTGATGATGTCTAGTATATTTTTTTCTTTTGTTGCTTGCACTTTTGGTGTTCTAAGAAACCATTGACTAATTCAAAGTTATGATTTACTCATGTTTTCTTCTAAGAGTTATATATTTTTAGCTGTTACACTTAGGCTTTGATCCATTTGAGTTAATTTTGGTATGGTGTGAGGTAAGGGTTCAGCTTTTTTGACCCTCCCAATTGAATGTGACCTTTCCCACTTAGTCAGAATAGGCTAGGTTATGTTGCAGTAACAAGTATTTCCCAAATCTCAGAGGCTACAACCACAAATGTTTGTTTTCCACTCAAGCTAAGAGTGCATCGTGGGTCAGCTGTGGCTCTGCTCCGTTTTCTTCACTCTGCGACCCAGACTGTTGGCGTTGCCTCTGCCTGGAACACTGCCAGTCCTATGGCAGGGGGAAACAAGACAGGATAGACTCTGGGCTGACTCCTTAAGTTTCTGTCCAGAAGTGACATGTGTCTCTTCCATTTTCACTTCATTGGCCAAAACAAGTCATAAGGCTAAATCTGATGTCTATGGGGAAAGAAAATTAATCCTCCCGTAGGGCAGGCACTCCAAGGAGGAAACACTGATCATTCAGGGGAACAGGAATACAATTTAACACTTCCTCACTATCCCCTGTATGACTTGATGCCTTGTTCTCCTGGTTTTCCTTCCGAACTCAGCATGCCAGGACCTGAATTTATCACCGTCCCCATCACCCCAAAATCTGCTCCTCGTCCTGGACCCCTGCCTTGGGAGACAGCACCCCATCCTCCTGGTTGCCCCAGCCAGAACCTTGACCCCACCTTCTCCATGTTCAACCATCAAGGTGTACTGAGTCTGCTTCCTAAACGTCAGATGAAGTTGTCTCTCTGGGTCCATTCTTGGTGATTGTGCCCTAGATCACCACTGTCTCTCCACTGGATGATCAGAGTCCTGTCCCTTCAAATCCATTCTCCATGTTGAGGCCATAATCATTTCCATAAAATGAAAATCGTTTTCCACTCTCCAGCTCAAAATCCCTGCTGGCTCTTCATTGCTCTGGGGATAATGATTAATACACTAACAGGCCTTGTAAGACCTTTCATGATCTGGCTTCAGTCATCTCTCCAGCCTCACTTCTGTATGGTATCAGCCTGGCATTTTATTGCTCTTGAGTTAACTTTAGTTCCCTAAATGCACGGTGATGTCTTCACTCAGGGCTTTTATCCCCACGTGTGCGATACTGTTCCTCCTCTTCTGGGTAAATCGTACTTGTTCTTAAAGTACTAGGCTGGGCATCACTTGCTCCTTCCTTCAGACTAGGCGATCACTAAGTGATGGGAAGATGGTTTAGCTAAGAGGCTAAAAGGAAGGGCTCTGGAACTGACGCCCCAGTTTTGAATCCTGGCTGTCATCTACTGTGATGTGAAACAGTGTGCAGGGTATAGCTTCCCTGGGCCTCCATTTCCTCAGGCATAAAATAGGGGATAATAAGAGTCCCTATAACATAAGGCTGTGGGGAGGATTAATGAATAAATACAGAGAGAATGCTGACAATAGCGCCTGACACACTGGGAGGACTCAAACAATACTTGCCTTTACTTTTATGTATCTTCATAGCAGCCTATAGTGACCCCTATAATTCAGCATTTATCAGACAAACATAATTCACAATTTACTGACCTGACTACTTTTCTGCATTGTAAGATCCTTAGAGTTGGGACAATGTCTTATTCATTATTAGTGCTCCAGTTGACACGTAGTTAGCACTTATTAAACATTTATTAAGTATGAAGTCAATTAATCCATGAACTTCTCCTCATGGCATTGATCCCTTCTCATCTTGTATTATGATATGAGGATGAACTCTGTTCTCCCTACTTGCTAATCTTACAGAGGGCGGGATCCCATCTCCCCCCAGCCCCACATCGCTAAGCAACATTGAATTACTATCAGTTGAATTCAATTCTCTTGAGAGCCTTTTCCTGCTTTTCCACCTGCTACAGTCCCTGATGTATAATACTTCCATGTAACCCATGGTAACCTGGAATTCCAAGGAAAGACTTTCTTTTATCTGTAGCCCAAACATTATAGTTGGTCGGTCATATAGGAAGGGGTTGAGGATAATGAAACTCAAGTTAGAGTTAGGAGCTACATTTAGGTGGGGTGTCCTGTAATTTCTGAAAAGAATATGAGCCTGGAGATTTTGTTCTTCTTGATCTCATAAAAGCTACTGAAACCCTAGGTGCTGTTACAATTGACCTACCTGCTGGGTGGGTAGAAGAGCAGGCTGAAGTGAAGGGGGGATTAAGTGGCATGTAAAAGCTGCAGGTTTTAGTCCAGGCTGTCAGCAAATACATGTGGCCTTGGAAGTTGCAACCTGTCTGGGACCTCCTTATCCCACCGGGACAGTGAGGGAGGGTAAACGGTCTCTAGGCTCCCCAGCGAGTCTGATATTTCAGGCATCATCTCTCCAGAAGGAGCTCATTCTAGGAAGGAATGTTTTTATCATTCCACTTGATCTCAGAAGAAATAGAAATAGTGTAGGAGAAACTAAACCAGATGACTTTAGTCCCAAGGCTAGTGATGGCTGAAAATAATCACAGGAGGGATCATCTGGATGAACTTGAACTACCCACCTCTTGCAGGCAAGGGCCAAAGTGGGGTGTGATGCTGAACAGCAAGTGGACTTCTGAGCCGGACAGACCCGAACGCAAACCCCAGCCTTGCCACGTACTAGCTGTGGGGTGGTGGGCCCGCTACGGAACCTCTTTAACCCTGAGTTTCCTCGGTTGTAAAAAAAAAACAGGAATCATATGGGTGCTGCTGAAGCAGGGTAAGGATTAAAGGAAGCGGTTTATGTATGACCCCTGGTGTTCACAGGCCTTTGGCAACTGTTGGGTCATTTCCCTCTTCCGTTCCATCCTCCATCAATTTAAAGGACTTGCACACTCACTGGTACCTGTGCCACTGGACCCACTTGCTCCTCAGCACAGGTTGGCAGTGGGCATTTCTGTGGTTAGATGAGCTCGGGAACTTTTTGGTCAGGACCACACAGAGCGCCTGGGTCGACGAGCATCTTCTCTTAGTCAGATACAGTGAGTCTGATCAAATTCACACTCCTGCTTCTTTCTGTTCACTGAGGGTGTTTTGGTAGTTAGGGGACCAGCAGCACTGGGGGTCCTGGAGGGCAGGGCTCAGCGGGGAGACACGGGGCCACACAGTACCTCAGTGGAGCAGGAATCCATGATTCAGCTGGAGCCGCAACCCAGGACTGGCCGTGGAGACACCTTAGGAACGACAGGACTACCTCTTACCTGTAAGGAGTTCTGCTCACGTGACAGAGTATAGAAGGCCTCTCAACACGCGGCTCTCCCGACGCTCGCCTGGGGATCGCGTGGGCACACGCAGTGTGCAGGGGCAGCCCTCCAGGGCCGCACTGCCTTGTACTCGTACCCTTGCCATTTTTTCTCCCATCCGCAAAGACTGCTCCTGCTGCAACCACGTGAGCAAGCCCAGCCATCGCCTCCCTCAGGTAGGCCCGATGTCTCCCGGCTGCTCTGGGGCAGAGCTCACCTGGGATTTGCTCATGAGTCTCGGGTCACCAAGTCCCAAACTTTTTCTGAGGTTGCCCGGCTGAGAAAGGGACATGTTATGACCAGAAGCCATGACTCAATTCTAGGGGACGCTGCTTTGGGAATCAGGCTTTGCATTAGACAGTTGTGAATTCTCAGAGTGTTTTAAGGAATTCTAGCCAGATATCAGGGAGATTTCTTTATTTAGGCTTTATTTAGTCAACTAGTCATTTTTATAGGGCAGAGGGTAAAAGCTTCCCCAAAAGTCAAGTATTAGTCAAATGGAAGCAACATGAATGGTAACAGCTACCGTTGACCGTGTACCTTCTGTGTGCCCAGCTGTGGATAAGCACAGTGGTTACGGGCGCCTAGACTGGATTCAGACTATTCAAACGTGTGTGTGGATCTTGGCTCTACCGCTTAACTAGCTGTGTGACGTTGGGTAAATTATTTAACCTCTCTGAGCCTCAGTTTCCTCATTTGTAGGATAGTAATAGTACCGACCTTATAGGGTTGCAGGGAGGGTAAATGAGTTAATGCAAGAAACAGTCCTTAGCACAGTAAGCATTATCAAATTCTCACTACTCAACATGCAAAACTTGGAACATGTTCAACAGTGAAAGTTAATAAAAGACTAGAACGACCCAATAAAGACAGGACCACTAAGGATGCAGGTCCTGCAGGAGGGAAGATTGGGTCACCCCA